TGGGCCATATCCAGCTGTGCTCAGGACTTATTCCTGGTTTGATGCTCAGGAATGACTCTTGGCAGGGCTTGATGGGTATTATCTGGGGTAACAGGTAATTATACCTGGGTTGGCTGATCTCTGCCTGCTATTTTATCTCTCTGCACCCCCATTTTTGTGTGTGTGTCACCCACATTTTGTTGCAGTGCTCATGGGGTGAAGGTGACGGTCCAGTACTTGCACAGGTGCTCCGTGAGGGTTGCACTCTTTGGCTGATGGCAGTGTGAACAGATTATGAGGCACTAGTGGAACTGTGCCAGGGATCTAACTCTGGCTTGTCCAGCTGGTGATTTTGCCACTGAGCCTCGGGCCCTAAGAAGCTTGCTCTGATTTGATCTTCTCAACACTCCTGCGAGTAAGCAAAGCAACACTTCTTATCTGTACAGATGAGAAAACGGAGCTCTACGGGGTTGAGTTGCTGGCTCATGCAGACTTGTGAAAGTCAACTGTGAACATTTCAGGAATTTTGCAATTAACACTGACTATTAAAAATTAAATGAAAAGGCCAGGAGATCGTTCAGTGGTTGAGCTCCCGCCTTGCAAAACTGAGGGTGCGAGTTCCATCCACGGTGCTGTGTGATGTTGAGTCACAGTCTGGCAGCTGGGCGGCTAGAGCCCGCGGCTCTCTTGCCTGTGGCTGATCGTGGGTGTCAGCAGTTTCTGGCCACATAGTGGTCAAGTGTGTGTGAGCTCTGCAGGCAGATGTGGGACCCCCGTGAACACCATAACCCAGCAGGCACACACCCATGCCGGTTATCACAACAGTCTCCACGAATGGAAGTAAATTCCTTCTCAATTTGTGGGCCCAGAGAGATGATACAGTGGGGAAGACATTTGCCTTGCATGCAGTCAACCCAGGTTTGATCCCCAATACTAAATATGCTTCCCTAAGCCCCACCAAGAAGGATTCCTAAGCACAGGTAGGTGTAACCCCCAAATTAAATATATAATGTATATCTATAATGAAGGGCTGGAGCGATAGCATAGCAGGTAGGGTGTTTGCCTTGTACACAGCCAACATGGCCGACCCGAGTTCGATTCCTCCGCCCCTCTCAGAGAGCCCGGCCAGCTACCGAGAGTATCTCACCCGCACGGCAGAGCCTGGCAAGCTCCCTGTGACATATTGGATATGCCAAACACAGTAACAACAATTCTCACAATTTGTTGTGAGACGTTATTGATGCCCGCTCAAGCAAATCGATGAACAATGGGAGGACAGTGACAGTGATCTATAATGAGAACATCACGCGATGACTGGAATGAGAAGGAATGGGAGTGAAGATAGATAGTCTGCAACTACACCACCTCCGCTTTGCTGATGACATTGCTCTAATAACACCAAACATTAGCCAAGTGACACAAATGCTGGCTTACTTCGACCGTGAGTGTGGAAAGGTCAGAGTGCAGCTGAATCTCACAAAGACAATGTTTATGAGAAATGGACTCGTTCCTGGCGTTCCATTCCCTCTCAAGGGAACGAACATCTCCAAATGCAACAGTTATGTGTACCTAGGTCGAGAAGTCAACATGACAAATGACCTGGCACCTGAGTTGCGCAGGAGGAAGAGAGCAACTTGGAATGCCTTCAAGAGCGTCGAAGAAATAGCTAAGAGGACAAAGAACCTCCAGTTCCGGGCACATCTCTTCAGTTCCACTGTTCTTCCTGCATTAACATACACCTCAGAGACCTGGGCCCTAACGAAAACAGGATGAGAACGCTATTCAAGTCTCCAAAGAGAAATCGAAAGAGCTATGCTTGGAGTATCATGCATCACTCAAGTGAGAGAAAGAATCAGGAGTTCTGACCTCCGTCGACGATCAAGAATCAGGAACACTGTCTCATTTGCCAAGGCAATGAAAATCAGATGGGCTGGACACGTAATGCGATTTGGAGACGACCGCTAGACTAGAGCCATTACCGACTGGATTCCACGGGATGTCAAAAGATCATGTGGCCACCCACCTACGAGATGGTCAGACTTTTTCATCAAGACCCTGGATGATCAGTTTGAGGCTCTTCATGTTCCTGGAGCGAGCAGATGCCGTTGGGCTACACTAGCATGTGACAGGGACGAATGGAGACGTTACTGGCACCTACTTGAGGAAATTGATGGGGTTCGGCAGGGTGATACCATTTCACTGAAACTCTTCAGTGCCACCCTCGAGAACATCATGCGATGACTGGAATGGGATGGTGGTTCGGCTGGCTCGGCTCTTCACACGGTACCTGTCTGAATGCAAGTTTTCGTCCCAATGGAAAACCAGCAGGACTGTACTACTATTCAAGAAGGGAGACATCCATGACATTGGCAACTATCGCCCGATCTGCCTATTGTCTGTCATCTACAAGTTGTTCACTCGAGTCATCCTAAATAGGATTGGCAGAACACTAGATGAAGGACAACCATGCAAACAAGCCGGGTTCCGCAAAGGATTCAGCACCATCGACCATATCCACACAATAACCAAGCTCATTGAGGTTTCTCAGGAGTTCAAAATGCCGCTCTGTCTAACGTTCATTGATTCAAAGAAGGCCTTTGATTCTGTTGAGATGGAAGAGGTCATTGAAGCCCTAGCCAATCAGGGCATTCAAGTTCAATACATCAAGATCCTCCGTGAACTGTATTACGGATTCACTACCAGGATCTCACCATTCTACAAAGAAGTAATCATTGAAATAAGTATATTAAAAACAAAGATAGCGAATTTTTCTCATCAATTTATTTTACTTTTACCTATGTTCTTTAAAACACCAGAGCTCTAACCCCTGAGCTATGGAGCCTATCTGTGCCATTTTTTTTTTTTGGGTCACACCTGGCAATGCACAGGGGTTACTCCTGGCTCTGCACTCAGGAATTATCCCTCGCGGTGCTCAGGAGACCATATGGGATGCTGGGAATCGAACCAGGGTTGGCCGAGTGCAAGGCAAACACCCTACCCACTGTGCTATTGCTCCAGCCCCATATCTGTGCCATTTAATTTGTTTTGAGGCTACACCTGGTAATACTCAGGGGTTACTCCTGGCTCTGCACTCAGGAATTACTCCTGGCCATGTTCAGGGGAACTATAACTGATGCCTGGGATCAAACCCAGGTTGGTCACATGTGGGGCAAGCATCTTAACCTGACATACTATCACTCCAGCCTGTATTCCTTAAGTTGTTATTCTAGCTGCATGATGAAAATCCACAATAGTATCTGACACTAATCTCTTCCTAAATGCTCATTGTAATTAACTAGGTAACCTGAAATCAACCACAGTGGATATATTTACAGCATAATTATAGGAAAATGATACAACTTAGGGCTTTGTTGTTTTGGTGATAACCTAGATCTAAGAAAGTGATGGAGAAAAAGATAATAATTAAGATTAAATGTAATGTTTTTGGGCTAGGGATGTTGCCCAGTGCTAGAGCACAGGTCTTGCAAACTCAAACCTGAGTTTGATCCCAAGCACCACACTAACACCCTACTCCTCCAACCCCCCCCCCCCCCAGCCCCTGGAGACAAAAGCTAAGTAAAATAAAAACAGATGAGTATATTGTATATAGTCATTACATCATTAATAGCACAAAAAACTGAAAAAGTGGAGATGTAAAGATAGTACAGCAGATAAGGCACTACAGCAGGTAAGGCACTTGCCTTGCACACGGTAAACCCAGATTTGTTCCCTGGCACCCCATATGGTCCCCTAAACAATACCAGATTGGCCGTGAGCACAAAGCCAGAGTAAGTACTCAGCACATCTGGAGCTGATCCTCTCCAGAGAGAGAGAGAGAGAGAGAGAGAGAGAGAGAGAGAGAGAAAAGAGCTCAATAGAGAGAAAAAGAGCTCAATGAGCTCAGGGCCTGCTTTGCACAAAGGAGGCCCAGGTTTGACCCCTTGCATCACATTGATCTCCCTTATACCTAGGAATGAATGATTACAGAGCACCAAGCTAGGAGCAGCACCTGTGCACCGCTGGTTGTGGTTCCCAAATCAAAAATAAATTAGAAATAAATGACTGTCTTCGTTTATCTGCTTTCCTTTTATATTGATAGAGGAAAACTGTAGCACTGTAGCACTGTCCTCCCGTTGTTCATCGATTTGTTCGAGCGGGCCCAGTAACGTCTCCATTGTGAGACTTGTTGCTACTGTGTTTGGTATATTGAATATGTCATGGGTAGCTTGCCAGGCTTTGAGGAAAACATCAACTGACATTCATGTCACAATTACATGCCTTGGCCAACTGAAACCACAGGCGGAGTACCTGTATGAGAGCTTGACAAGAGTCAGTGAAAGAATGGACAAGGTAGATAGTACAGATGGGCCCTAAGCACAGAGCCAGGAGTAAGCCCTGAGCAACACCAGCTGTGGCCCCCAAACAGTGCAAACAAATAAAAAGTCAATGAAAGGATTCTGTGAGAATGAGTTATAGGAATTTGCGACTGCATATTGCTATTATATGTAACAAATGCGTTACGAATTCTCAGTTAAAAATATATATATATGTGTGTGTGTGTGCATATATTCTCCTTCTCCCTCCAGGCAGTTGACTGTCCAATAGTCATCTGGATAGACAATACATTATTCATGTGTGACTGCATAAATATTCACAGGATGCTAAGGAGGTTCAGATTAGCCAATAAAGAAATTGGCCAGGTCAGACTTGAAAAGCGGCACAGGCGGGACCAGACTCAGGCAGAATCCTCACTCCCAGGGGCCCCGGTTCTCTGCGAGGGTGTGCTCGGGCTTTCCGGGGCCGCTGCACCTGACCCACAGGGCTGGCCTGGGCCCGAGCGCCCGGGAAGTGAAAAAGCACAGGTCGGGGGCCGGCGACCAATAGCCAAGCCGAGCTGCCGCCCCCAGCCAATAGCAGCCCGGGCCGCGCGATACGTCACGCCCCGAGGAGGCCGGTGCGCGCACGCCCCCGGGGAAAGGGGCGTGGCGAGGGCCTCCCGGAAGTGACGCTACCGGAGGCGGTCCTCGGCGGCGGCGGCGCGCGGCCTGGGCTTGCGCTGCGCCCGCGCGCCCCCGCCCCCCTCCAGGAGGCCGAGGCCGCGGCGGCCGTTAGCGCTGTCGCTCCGGGGGCCGCGGCGGGCGGGGCTCCGGCGGGGCCCGGCCTAGTCTCAGCCCAGCCCGGCTCCCAGCCGCCCGCCCTCCCGATGCAGGGGGCCGAGCTCCGGGATGGCGAGGCGGCGGCGGCGGCCGCTTCGTACCGCGTCTTGAGCCGCCTGCTGGGCTATGGAGAGGCGGCCCCCGAGCCAGGCCCGCCGCCGCCGCCCCCGGGCCATGGCCCCCCGCCGCCCCCTTTCCTCGCGCGGCCCGGCCCGCGGGGCTCGCGGCCGCCGCAGCTGATGGTGTTCCGCAACGTGGGGCGGCCGCCGGAGGAGGAGGACGCGGAGGCGGCCCCGGAGCCGGGACCCTCGGAACTGCTGTGTCCCCGGCACCGCTGCGCGCTGGACCCCAAGGCCCTGCCGCCGGGACTGGCGCTCGGGCGGACGTGGGGCCCGGCGGCCGGACTCGAGGCGCAGTTGGCGGCCCTGGGGCTCGGGCAGCCGGCGGGGCCGGGGGTCAAGACGGTCGGCGGGGGCTGCTGCCCGTGCCCGTGCCCCCCGCAGCCGCCGCCGCCGCCGCCGCAACAGCAGCAGCAGCAGCAGCCCCCGCCGCTGGCCGCCGCCCCGCAGGCCGGGGAGGACCCCACGGAGACGAGCGACGCGCTGCTGGTCCTGGAGGGTTTGGAGTCGGAGGCCGAGAGCCTGGAGACGAACAGCTGCTCGGAAGAGGAGCTCAGCAGCCCGGGCCGCGGAGGAGGAGGAGGAGGCTGCGGCGGCGGCGGAGGAGGAGGAGGAGGGGGCGGCCGGCTCCTGCTGCAGCCCCCCGGCCCCGAATTGCCCCCGGGGCCCTTCCCGCTGCAGGACTTGCCCCCTCCGGGCCGCCTGAGCCGGGGGGAGCCGCCGCCGCCACCCCCGCCGCCCCCGGGGCCGCTCCGGCCGCTGGCGGGCCCGTCTCGGAAGGGCTCCCTCAAGATCCGCCTCAGCCGCCTCTTTCGCACCAAGAGCTGCAACGGCGGCTCGGGCGGCGGCGACGGGGCCGGCAAGAGGCCCTCGGGGGGCCTGGCGGCCTCCGCCGCGAGCCTCACGGACATGGGCGGCTCTGCGGGCCGGGAGCTGGACGCGGGCAGGTGAGCCCGGCGCGGGCGGGGTCGTGGGGGGGCGGGGGGAGACGCGCGCGCTGGCCAATTTGAGTTTCTGCTGCTCCCGCGACCCCCGACCGTTCTTCCGAGGGGCTTCTCGGGGGCAGGCCGAGAGCCGGGGGTGGCTGGGCTCATCGTGGGAGCAGCGTCCACTCCCACAGTAGCCGCTGCCCTGCACTCTTCCTTGGCAGCTGTTAGCTTCCCTCCGGCGGGGAGCTGGTTTGAACTGGCGCCCCCCGCCCCCCGGCCTCGCTTGTCAAGTTCCTCCGAGGCGCTCTGTCCACCTCATGGACACTGCCCCTTGGCAGTGAGATGGCTGAAAATGTTTGCCGGTGTGGGGAGCCCAAAGTCGGTTGTTGGGTTTGGGTCACTAGACCCCTCTGTGTTGCAGCACCCACCCCCGTCCAAGGGATGCACGGGCCCTGACAAAACCCATGTAGTGATAGGTCCACCCGCAAGTATCCGTTGGGTTTGCATGTCTCCGTGGTCAGTTTTCCCTGGACGGAGCTGTGATCTCAAGCCTGTGAGAGTGGGGGAGAGCTGGGCTTTTGAGTCCTGTGAGGATCCTGGATAGAAGCCGTGGAGATGAGTGCAAATGCCAAACGGACATTTTTTTTCTGAAACCGTTTTTTTCCTGCCTTTCCAAAGAGTCACAGTTCTTGGGTGTCCAGTGCCAGACTCGTGATACCCGCAGTTGTGTAGGTGAGGCCTCCCTGGAGGTGACTGTCATTGTGCTTTGTGCCCCGCCGCCGAGTGGGGACCTAGAAAGATGAGAACTGGTTTTGTTGATGGAACCTGAAGACACTGGCAGCCACAACTCAAGGCTGAAGAGGAAGTAGTTGAGTAATTGTGAGCTTTACCAAGCAGCAAAATCATTGGAGACCTGGGGGGGAAAGACCAGGATATCCAGGAATTTGAATTTTCCAAAATCCCCTCTCCCGCCCCCATTTGCTTCTGAAGAACTTATTTTTACTTCTTTTTCCCTTTTTTTTTTTTTAATTTTTATGATGTTTGGGTGAATTCAGGACCTCACATTCAGGCAAGCCTCTAGCCTTTGTACTCCTGGCCCAAGGGTTTTGCTTTTTGTTTCGAGCGAGCTTGGGTCTTCCTAACACAAAGTGTGGGTTGCTTTGACTTAGCTGCTGTTCTAAAGAACAGCTGTGCCAGGGGCTTCTCTTGGGCATCAGACCAGACCCATGCTCCCCAGGAAATCTGCTTCTGTATGCTGTTCCAGTGAAGGCCTGCTGGCATCTCAGGTCTGAGAAGGTGTGCGGCTGCCGAAACGGCTTATTTGTCGTAGGCTCTGCTGTTGATGCTCGACTTACTCAGCACAGATGAAATGTTCATCAGATGGCGGAGAGCAGGATTGAAGCTGTGGGTTAAATGACACAGGTTGGATTGCTAATTTTCTTGTGGTTCCATATTGACCAGGATTTGGTCTAAGATTCCAGAGACGCCAACTCTGAGAGGTGGCGTGAAATTAGCTGCTTCGTCTAATAGATTAGGAAGAGGAAAAGGCAAACAACATTAAATGGGTTTTTGCCTTTGGAAGCAGAATTTAATGGTCATTGGCTGCTCTGTCCCCAGCCCTCACTCTAAGCACAATACAGATTTCTGCTGCAGAGCAAATTGGGCTGTAGCTTTGCAAAGAAGCTTAGTTCAGGGCACTGGAGAATTACATTTTTTGGTCCAAGGGCTTTTTCTGATGAACTGGAGAAGCGCTGCTATTTGTGTATGAACGTTTGGTTGGCTGCAGTTAGAGGCTGTGGAACAGAGAATGGGAACATCTACGTTCCATTTAGAACACCAGGATCAGCTGTGGGGTGCTGGCCAGCCTTGTCTTCATACTTTCCCTTTGTTTTCATCTGTAATTTGGGAGTGGTCCCTGTCCTGTTCCTCTTACAGAATGGTGACAACTGCAACCAAGATGGAATATTTTTTGTGCTTTTGGAGAAGTACTGAGATCGAACTGGTAGCGTTGTTTTTTTTCCCCCTTAGGATTTGGTACTGTTAGATTTGCTTGTTAGCGTTTCCACAGCTTACTATGTGCCAGTCTTGCTGGCAGCCTCGCAGCTGTGAGAAACTTGGTAAGTCTGGCCAGGGTAGTTGTGATTTCTGCGGATCTGCACCTCCTAAGTTCGCCTTGTTGGGAGGAAGAATGCGTTTGGGTCTTTAATTTGTTCCTTGTTCCGATTGGTAAAGACTTCTAGCTGTGACAAATGTCAGTTTTGCCAGAAGATACATGCCTTTCTCTTCTTACCATTGCTGGAGTTAATTATGGGTTTCTCTTGTCTTTGCTGTGTAATTTGGAGCTTTCACAGTAGCCTCTGGGAATGATTCTCTCTGTTCTTCTCTGGTCTACCACAGCCCAAGCTAGGAATTTTGTACTTCCTCATTCTATAAGCCTCACCAGTGCCCACATCTTCACGGTCTGTGGTATGCCAAGGCGGCCTGCCTGCAGAGAGCCCTAAATCTACTGAGTGAGCTCTGAGAACTTTCTTCCCTAAGAAAGTCGGCTCACCCACCGATCAGGCTTCTGTTCTGGAGAACTGGGTTGGCCAAGCCTTGTTACACGCATTTGTTGGAATTCATAGTTGGGCTTGACGCCTGTGGGCCTTAGTGAAATATAGAATTGCTATTTCAAGAAAGCCAGTGAAGTTCTCTGGTCTGCTTCGCATATGTTCAGCTGATTGTCGTTCTTTGTATTTGGTGAGAAATTGTATTTGAACTCCACTATTTTGAATTAACACATATACACACCTGGTTGGAAATGAGTACCTTGTTCGTTTTTCAAGGCCTGTTTTTTCCAAGTTTATACTTAAGGCAATTACTGGCAATCGTTATCTCTATGAGGTGGAAAAATGGAGAACAGTTCTGTAGTGGTTTCCTATCTGTTTGTTTGGGAAAAGAGAATTCTGGAGAGAGAGGCTGGCTGCTTTGGCATCAGTTTGGGGCCCTGCTGTCATGGACAGACCTGGCAGACAGGAGAAAGCCTTTTTTCCTTTTATTGGTTTGTGAGGCCTTGCATGTCTTTTGGAGAAGTAGCCTCCTATGCTGAGAGCAAAATGATCTTCGTGGTGTGGTGACGATGTTTGGGATTTGAGTTTGGGGTCATACTCCAACTTTTAGCATTTTTTTCTACAAAGCTCTAGTAACTGGTAGCTCCCTTTTGGAATGAGCCGATGAGCTTTGGAAGTTTCTGTTTGTTCATTTCAGTCTCATGGTTCTTCTCCCTGATAGTGTTCCTCCTAAGGGTTAGGCCTTGAACTACACTTCTTGGTTTTCCCCTGGAAGTTCCCTTCGTAGTTTCTTCAGTGGGTTTAGGATGAGTTTTGGATTGACCTTGCTGCACAGATGTCTGTGTATTGGAACTAAACATGAACACATGGTTTTTGTGCCTGTAGCACATGAACAGACACTGGCTTATGACGAGTTGGAAATGGCACGGGCTGGCTGCCTTGGCACTGTGTGCTTTAGCAGGAGCAGAGAGGTACGTCGGGACTGCAAAACCCGACGTTTGGACATCCCAGTTTGAAAGTAATTTTAGAAGAAGACATGTGTGAGTTTGAGGACATTGGTTTGAGGGGCGGGGATTATGGATGAGAGAAAAGGCAGTGCCGTTTCACTGTTTGTGTTCTAGGTTTCAGGGAGTTTGAAAAGTGGCCAACAGTTCTATCAGTGTGTTGTCGGCTGTCTAGCCTGATGCTTTTAACTCCTCTTATCCCACAGATCTTTTGTTGCACAATTAGTCATTTGCTGAGCGGAAACGGTGTCATTGTTAACTGCAGCATGAACAAAGTGAGTGTGTGAGTGTGTGTACACACAAAAGACTGCTAGCCTCAAGACTGTTGCTTAAAGCTCACTGTTGCTCCTGTCCTCTCGGCCACCTGAGGCAAATCCTACCAGGTCCCATCTCTGAAGTCCTTATGTTCCAAAGATGCGATGGCCCCTTGGCAGAGTTTATAGTGGCCAATCCTGGTTCAATCCTGGCGCCCCATATGGTCCCCATAGCCAGGAGAAGGCCCTGAGTACTGCCAGGTGTGGCCCAGAAAACCACCCCCTAAAAAAGTGGTCCAGAGCTGTAGTTGACCTCCAAGAACCAGCACATCCATATCAGAACAGGCTTTTATCATTTAAAACATTGCTTGTGTACAAAAGCAGATATATAAAATATATGCACAGCAATAATGAAATGCATGCCTAGATGCCCTTCACAAAGCCTACCCAACAGAGTGTTGTTAGTGTCTTTCCAGACCCTTGTGTGTTGCTCTCTGATTACATCTCCCCCTTCCCCCAGGTAACCACCATCTTCAATCTGATAGTAATCATTCCCTGGCTTTATTTTTTTCTTTATAGTTGTCCTGATTGGTCTTTTCATAAATGACTCCCATTAGAATGCTCTCAGGATCTCGACGACAAATTGCTTTGGGTTTTAGTTAGACAGCGTCTCCCCGAAGAGAGAAGGAGCGGCTTGTGTTTATTATTACCCTTCAGCCGCTGAGACCTTTTTCTTCTCCGAGCTTCCAGCTCTTCGGCCCCCTTCTTTGCCAGAAATAAAACATTCCAGGACTCTCACATGGCTCCGCCTGGGTTTAGATTCATATGTATTTCTGTTTCTAGAGCCTAGAAACTATGATTTTCTTCTTCCAAGTGCTGGGGGCGGGGAGATGATGAGCTGGAGTGGGAAGGCCTCCGCAAGATGTGTGCATTTGGGAGCCGCGTTCTTCTGCCTGGCGCCGAGGAGGCTCGTCCCCAGCATGGGCAGATGGCAGAGTAGCGCAGCTTCCTTTGAGAAGAGGCAAGCGGCCAAATGGCTGAGGTGGGAACCTTTCGAAAGGCCAGTGCCGAAGGTTTCTGCTTGCTGAATTTGGATGTTGTACCCACAAGTTACCAAATAAAAATCCTCTTGGAAGCACGTCAGCCTTCAAAGTTCATGTCCAGGGGAATTAACTTTCCATTCCAGTCCCCCTGCACATTGGCACAAGACTTCAGTCTTGGAAGCCACTTGAGTAACCAAGGGATCCCGTGGGATGGGTTGCTTTGATGCACCCACCTCTCCCATGTGTTCTGAGGTGGGGGGCATCCCCAGGAGGGCACCTCTCAGCAGGGAAGAGGGTGCAGGGTGAACCTCTCTGTTTCTTTTTCCTTTTTTGGTGGGGAGGTGCCATCCCCAGCTGTGCCCAGGTCTCACAGCTGGCTCTGTTCTCAGGGATCACTCCAGGGGGACATGGGGATTATATTTGGCGTTGGGGATCGAACCCATGTCAGCTGCGTGCAATGCAAGCCAGCATCTTAGCTGCTATACTGTCTCTCTGGCCCCTCAGCTGTTTCTGAGTAAGGTCTTCATTGTATATCTTGGAAATTTTCTTTTACATGAATTCTGATACTCTCAGGCTTCTATGTGAAAACAATTCACAAAGATCTTGCTGGGTCAGATCATTTTAATAGGATTTAGGGATGACTTTGCTTCCATCCCCCTCTATTAGGACAGTTAATACTTGGAAAGGGTTTTTTTGGCTTTTGATTTTTGTTTTCTCCCCTGCAAAACCATTAATCCTTTGTATGGGTTTTAACTTTTATTTAGTCCTTCAGGTGAGAGTAATTTTGGAACATGAGCCAACTATAACACCTGGAGTCAGATGCTCAGTTCTGGAATGGAAATTTTTTTTTTAAGTTTGGCTTACTGAGGTATAATTGTATGATTTATGTATGATCTGTAGTTCTTCTTTGTGCCAGAGAGACAGTTCAGGAGATAAGGCTTGCATTTGGCTGAAGACCCCAGGTTCAATCTCCAGCACCACGTATGGTCCCCTAGAACATTGCCAGGAGTGACTGACTCCCTGAGCACTGCTGGGTGTGGCCCACACCTCCCCAACCCCCGACTCCCGTCCCCCCACCAAATAGAAAATTAAAGGAATTGCTTTTGGTTTAATCGGGGGCCCACTGAGAGGTGCTGGGGAGTGAGGGAGCACTGCTCCTGGCTCAGGTAGCTCCTGGTGGTGCTCTGGGGACCTTGCAGTTCGGGGGTGGAGCCTGGACCTCAAATGCAAAATCTGAGCGGGGGCTGAAACAATAGCACAGAGGGTAAGGTGCTTGCCTTGCATGCAATTCACCTGGGTTCAATCTCTGGCACCCTATGTGGTCCCCCTAGTCCCACCAATAATGATCCCTGAGAGCAGAGCCAAGAATAAACCCTGAGCACCGCCAGGAGTGACCCAAAAACACACACACAAAAAAATCCCTGTAGGCTCAGCTCTTTGAACAATCTTCCCTGCTCAAGATACAGAATTTGAAACTTGTTTTTTCTTTCTTTTCTTCTTTTACCCTTTTCCTATGGTGGTGGTGTGCAGGAAGCCTGCAGTGCCCTTGTGATTCTCAGCCAGCCAGGCCTCGATTCAGCGTTAGAGCCTGAAGGGCCAGTGCTGCCCTGCCCTGAGTGCTGGGCCTCCGTGTCTGCACTCAGCTTTGCTCCAGGGTCTTGTAGTGCCGAGAATCACCTGGGCTGGGGCGTGCTAACCACTGCACTACCCTCTAGCCCTGACAGAGAGCGTATTTTAGTCACCTCAAGCTTTCTGGAGGTGAATTTTTTGAGTTTAGCACAGCCCTAGCCAGAAAGTCTTTGTTCAGAGTCTTTTGGATTTCTTTAATTTCCTCACTAAAAAACCAGTGGTGCAAAGGACAGTTCCTTTACTGTATCTTTTCGCAGGAGATGAGTGGGATTTTTTGTTGGTTTGGCTTGGCTTGGTTTGGTTTGGGGGCCACACCCAGTGGTGCTTGCGACTTATTCCTGGCTCTGCACTCAGGATTCACTCCTGGAGGGCTCAGGGGACCATATGGTGTGCGAGGAATTGAACCCTGACAGGCCATGTGCAAGGCAAACACCCTCTGCACCATACTGTTGCTTCGGCCCCTGGAGCTGCAGGATTATAACCAGGTCCCTGCAGCAGCAGCAGCAGCAAAAACTCCTGGGGAGACCTGTCACTGCATGCAGAAAGGAGGGGCGCTCTGAAGAATCCCTGTGTTTGCTGAGCTGCTGACTCCTGACCAGCCGTCCTTGGTGCAGAAATCAGAGTCTTGGTGTTTGACCTTTGTGGGCATGTTGGAGAGTGCTGTTCTCAGTCCGGGTATGTCCTCAGGTCCCTTGGGGAGCCTTTGCTTCTGGAGGACGGTGCAGAGAGCTGCTGTTTGGAAATGGCCCCCGGTCAGGTCAAGAACCTTTTCCTCAGCTCCCCTATTGGACATCAGCTCTGGCTTCCTCCTCAAAGTGGAAGGTCGCTAATTACCACCCAGGGTGTTATACTCTTAGAATGTGCTGGGTATGGAGGGAGAGAGACCCAGAGGGATTTCTTACTGCTTTGTAGGCTGGCAATGCTGCAGCCATATCTATTTAAGGAATTGCCGTAATTATTTTCTTCTTCCCCTCTAAATTTTAGGCTCTATTACAGAAGTGTTGCTGACAAGGACGAGGCTTTGCTTGGTTTCCGGCACCCCTGGGCGTGAGTGTGCTGGTGATTTAAATACCTCCATGTCCACGCTCCCCCCCATTCACTGTGTGCTCTCTCCCCGCCAGGAAACCCAGGTTGACAAGAACTCAAAGTGCCTTTTCTCCGGTCTCCTTCAGCCCCCTGTTCACAGGTAAGGACGGGCGCCGAGCTCCTGCTCTCGGGATGTCGGAGGTGTGAGTGCTGCGTGGCTGTGGAAAGGCCCGGCAGGTGCAGCCCTGCAGCTCCTCCCCCGCCCCCTGCCCGCTGGGCTCAGGGCGAGGCTATTTTTATAGTGTGGAATGTGTTCTGGCCTTTGACTGCTCTGTACTTTGAGGTGGAGACTGCGTGCTGGTAATTAGGTGGCCCTGGCAGTTACTGCGGTGCTTTATTTCAGGGCCATCACACATAAATTAAAAGTAGGAATCACAAAGGTACAGGCTCCCGGTACATAAAGGGCTCCTTGGAAGCCCTACAACTCCCGCCTCTGCCGCTAAAGGAGCTGGTGGATGATCTAATCAACACCCTTGGTTATCTGGTCTATTTTTAAAGGCTTTGGCAAAGGGGATTACATGAACTCTTGTCTTACCCAATTTAGGGGCTGTCAATCCTTGCAGCTGTTCTTCACTGTACCTCAGTCTCTCCTCCAGAGCAGGGAATGCGGTTGCTGAAGTAGGAGCGTGTCTGAATGTGCTTTGGGCCATTGCCTTGCCTTGTTGGGAGCTTTGAGAGAGGGTGACCTTATGTGAATGTCAGCCAGCTGTGGGGTTCAGCCGAGCAAGCCCTTTACCAGCCGCCTCACGTCCCAGAGCTGAGGCTCCCTTGTGGGTTGTGACTGAGGAGGTTTTAAAATGTCCCAGTTTCAAACTCTTTGGATCCTGTGTACTCAGAAGCACCATTGGAAGAATTATTCGTAGGAAGGGGAAAAAGCTGGTCAGGCTGTGGGACCCCCACCATAAGACAGTTGGCCATGAGCCTTGAGAAGAAGGAGTTGGGGGGCAAGGTCATAGACACACAGGGAGAAGCTTCTCTGTTCTTCCCCTCAGTCCAGAAGGAAAGGCTCATCCTGGCGCAGCATCTTTCTTGTCAGTGTCCACCCCTTTCAGTAGCACCCACACCTGTCGTTTCAGGTTCAGTGTTCTTATTTCAGAGAGCCTGAGCCCCGGAGGCTCCCAAGTGCCAGGGCTACCATTTCCGACCCTTCACACATCCACATGCTGAGCCCATACTGTTGTTCTGTGCTGCTCGGCTCTCGGTGCTAAGCTCCAAGATGTGTCCGAATCCACTGCCGCCTTCCTAGAATTGCCACTGATGATTTTCAGAAGTGCCTTTCTTTTTATCTCAGTGATCAATCTTTGTTTGGGTTAAAAAAAAAAAAGCCCGAGGCCAGAGAGATAGTATGGTGGGTAAATTCCTGGGGAGAAGCTTCCTCTAAACACAACTAATTTTTTAATTCTTTTTTTTTTTTTTTTGCTTTTTTGGGTCACACCCGGCAATGCACAGGGGTTACTCCTGGCCCTGTGCTCAGGAATTACCCCTGGCGGTGCTCAGGGAACCATATGGAATTCTGGGAATCGAACCTGGGTCGGCCACAAGCAAGGCAAACACCCTACCCGGTGTGCTATTGCTCCAGCCCCCATAAACACACCTAATTTTTGACTGACTGTGGAAACACATAATTAAGATTGTAGGTGCACTTCTCAACCTTTGTGGCCTTAGTTATCAGGACTCATTGACATCTAAAAAGATTGGTTGTCTTCTGAGTGAATGTTCTGGAAAAATCTTTATATGGAAAACTAAATAGAAGTTGGAAGCCATGTTGGGACCTTTCTATAACTGTAGCTAACCATGCTGTTCTTGCACTTTTCTGGCACTTTCTTTCCATGTCTATTTGGGCTCTCTAGCAAACTGCTTGCCTTGCTCCCTGTGGCAAAAATTGATATATAAGTCTGGGAAAATAAATAGTGATTCTATTTGAATAAAGAAAACCCCTTGTGATATAATGTTCAATAAGGGTTTATGTTGCCTAAAGGATCCACATTAAATTTTCTGAAATTTCTGAATTTTTCTGAAAAAAAAAAAATAGTTCCTGGTAATAGATATTTAACTATTCTTATTAGTCATAGTGATTCTTTTTTGCGATGTGTATTTAGTTCATGGGCTGGAGCGATAGCACAGCAGTAGGGCATGTGCCTTGAGCACAGCCAACCCAGCCAAGCTGGGTTCAATTCCTCTGCCCCTCTCGGAGAGCCCGGCAAGCTACCTGTGATGTATTCGATATGCCAAACACAGTAAAAACAAGTCTCAAAAAATGGAGACATTACTGGGCCCGCTCGAGCAAATCGATGAACAACGGGAGGACAGTGTCAGTGTCAGTATTTAGTTCATTATCTTGTGTACCTAAAATTACTAGGGGAAAAAGACACTGGCCTGAGGATGCGTTGTCAGTGGCAGAACCAGAATCTCTTCCTCTGTCAATCCCACGTTGTTGTCTGAAGCATCCTTGACTGACCTCTAAACGGGCCAAGGATCGATAGGAGTTAGAATGGACTGCTCAGCTGTTGGGGGCTGCCTGCAGCCCTGTGAGTTTGTGAGAGCCCATCTGCTTGCCCCCACCTTGCTTGCCTCTGGCTCCCCCTTGCTTGTGGCCAGCTTTGGGCAAGGGACTTCCATAACATGCTTGCTCCCTCAGGTGAAACAGTGTCTCTTGTGGACGTGGATATCTCTCAGCGGGGCCTGAGCTCTCCACACCCTCCAACTCCCCCTCCTCCTCCAAGACGAAGCCTCAGCCTTCTAGGTATATTCTTTCCCTCCCTGCCTCTCCGCCCGAGTGGGAGGGTGAACTCTGGGCTCCTGAGCGAGACAAGCCCCTGAGCTTCTAAAAAGGACCCAGGTGCTTCTAGCTCCCTGGCTCTGTCATTCTCCCTGAGCGGTTCCCTGGGCTCTTACCTGCATGCTGGAACATTGGCTGGTCCATATGTTAGTTCACCCTCTGTCTTAGCCAGATCCCGGGGCAGGCAGGTGCTCCAGGAAGAGCCATACTTTCCTGCTAGCATTCAGAGTCTACCAGGTTAGGATGATCAGCGGGGAGACTGGGACAATGGCAGGCCATCATGCTCCTGAGGGCTCTCTGATAATCCTTCTCCCTTTCCTCACCTGCCTCATTCTGTGCTCATATTTCTGAACCTCTTGCTTTTGTTCTCTCTTCTAGATGATATCAGTGGGACGCTGCCTACATCTGTCCTTGTGGCTCCGATGGGGTCTTCCCTGCAGTCTTTCCCCCTACCTCCGCCTCCTCCACCCCATGCCCCAGGTTAGCTTAGCTTAGAGGCAAGACTTGCAAGAGTTGGGAGGACAAAGTGGCAAAACTTTTGAAGCATGGGGAAATCTGTTTATGGAAACAATAGAAGTTATAAGAAAGCTTGAATCTTACTCCTTTGGCCAGACCAGAAATCCTTGGAAATGAGGCTGAGAACCGTTTCTTCTAACCTTTTTTTTTTTTTCTTTTTAAATGGAGGTAAATCTCACTTATTTGGGATAAAAAGCTATTGAATGTTTTATATCTTTGCTGTCAGGACTATTTTGTCCTCCTGTTTTGGGGCTGCACCTAGTGGTACTCAGGATGCTCCCAGCTCTTTGCTTGGGATTGTGCCTGGCAGTGCTCAGGAGACCGTGTGTGCCAGGGATTAAGCCTGAGCCTCCTGCATGCTTTCTAACCTGTGGAGCTCTGTCTTTGGCCCCAACTGCTGCTGAGACTATTTTGTAATCCATTTCTGGACAGTAAGAGGTTTAATATGTTGTTGGTTTTCGTGGACACAGTTGAGTTTTCTGTTTCGTTTTAGTTTTTTTTGTGGTTTTGTTTTGGTTTGTGTGTGGTGTGTATGTGTGTGTATGTGTATGTGTGTTTGAGGTGCCAGGGAGTTGAACTCAAGGGCCTCAAATCGTGCAAGACAGATGCTCCACTACAGACCTACATTCCTGACCCTGTTGCTGATTTTCAAAGATCTGTGGGGTTTTTGGTTGATTTTTTTTTAAGTTTTCCATATTTCTGCAGCCTTGTAAATATGTACCGTGCATTGTAGCCCATACCTGCTTTGCCAGCCTCCAGTACCTAAGGAATAAAATGAATGAAATCAGCATTCTTTTCTACTTGCCTGGCAAAATCGTTACTCTTCCTGGGCAAGTTAGCGAGTCACTATTTCCAAGGCTGTTTTGCCAGCACTTCACCTCGAGGTGGGAGAAGTTGGAATCGCTCTAGGCTGGTGAAGGCCCTGACGTAGTCACCCTAGTCAGGTTAGTGAGCAGCTCCTGTACCACCTTCCTGGGCTTTGATGCCCCCACCCATCCTTCACAGCTTACACAAGCCCACACAGCTTTTTGTTCCAGCCCATCCAGCTCCTTCCACCGCTTTGGCTTCTACCCTTTCCAGCTTAGCTCTAATGCCTTACCCTCTTCAGTTAGCATCTGTTTTGGGGGGAGGGCCTTGTGGTTGGGAGCAGTGAAGGCAAACACATGACTCCCGCTCTCTGGCTCCGCAGATGCATTTCCCCGGATTGTTCCCCTCCGAGCTGCTGAATCCCTGCATAACCAGCCCCCACAACACCTCCAGTGTCCCCTCTACCGACCTGACTCGAGCAGCTTTGCAGCCAGCCTTCGAGAGCTGGAGAAGGTAGGTGGCGCCTGAGACGGGTGCTCTCCCCATCCTATGTCAGGCTCTTTTGTTATTCATAGAAGCACAGTCATTTCTGGCCTCTGTATTTCCATTTTTCAGAAGCAAAACAGTAAGCTGCGAATCCATCAGACATCATAAACTTGTTCTCAAGGGGGAAAAAATTATTTGGGGGTGGAAAATTAGAGCCAGATCTTGCGGTACTCAGGACTGAGTACTGACTCAGCCCTCAGGGATCACTCCTGGTGAGGCTCAGGGATTATATTGGGTGTCAGCTATTGAACTCACGTCAGCCATATGCAGGCAAGCGTTCTGCTATACTATTGCTCCAGCCCCTTGGAAAAGAAATTTTAATGTGATGAAGAAATGTTTATATACTGTAAATTGTGGAGAAATGTTTATATACTGTAAATTGATTTTGCTAGATTAGCTGACCTACATCTATCTTCTCTTTTTTTTTTTTGTAGAGAAATGGAATTATAAAATTTGTCTTTTGTTGGGCCCAAGCAATAGTACAGCTAGTAGGACAGTTGCCTTACATGCAAATGACCTGGGTTCGATCCCTAGTATCCCATATAGTTCCTGAGCCCTGTCAGGAGTGATCCCTAAGCACCAACCCAGGAGTGATCCCTGAGCACAGACCCAGGAGTGAGCCCTGAGTACTGTTGGATATGTCCATCCCCTGCAAAATGAGAGAGGTCACTCAACCGAATGAGCACCTGCTTTGTGTTCAGGAGACCCCTGCACCACACATGGCCCCCTAAGCAACACTGGGTAAAACCCAACAATTAAAAAAAAAAGAGGGTTAAAAGCATAACAATCCTGATAGTCACTCCTGATGTTGAGATGCTCTGAGCAGCTCTTACCTGCTGCAGTGTTCAGGTGAGCAGGAGTACTCTTTTGATAAGATAGTGTTGGAAACTTAATTAATAGTTATCTGTTTGTTAACCTCCTCACTGCTCTTTTCTTTGATAGTGTGGTTGGTATTGGGGACCAATGAATTGGGAAGATGCAGAGATGAAGCTGAAAGGGAAGCCAGATGGTTCTTTCCTAGTACGGGACAGTTCGGATCCTCGTTATATCTTGAGTCTCAGTTTCCGATCACAGGGTATCACCCATCACACCAGGATGGAGCACTACAGAGGTAAGTGAGTGAACTGGTGTCTAAGGAAGCCACCTGCCCCTTCGCCTTCTCTACCTTTGCTAATTCCTTTTCTACAGAAAGGATTCCTAGGGTCTGAGCTCTGAACCCAGTTGGGTGTTGAGCACCGATTTCAATCTCTAGAAATATTGGTGGTGTAGGAAGACGAGTAAGTGTTCCATTCATTCATTCATTCATCATCCTGTTATTCGTCGATTGCCTCGAGCAGGCCCCAGTAACGTCTCTTTCATCCTAGCCCTGAGATTATATTCAAGGCTCTTTAAGGAGAATGAGACCCATCATTGTTACTGGTATTTGGCATATTGGGTACGCCACGGGGAGTTTGCCAGACTCTGCCCTGTGGGCAGGCTACATTCGATAGCCTGCAAGTTTGTCACAATTCTTAATGACTTCATTAAATAACAAATAAAAAAGAAATTAACCGATTGAATAAAAATCAACGAGAATTAGTGAAATGAGTCAGAAAGAGAGGGACAGACATAGAAAGATTGCATTCATCTGGGGAATATAAAGTAACAAAACAGGGAACTGACACCCAAGAATAGCCGAGATAAGTACCAGGAGATTCACGCCATGGCTTGGAGGCCAGCCACACATGCTAGGGGAAAAGGGAGCTCAGATAGAGAAGGGAGCACCAAGTAAAGTGTGTTAGGAGGATCCTCCCGGGATGGGAGAAGCTTGCTGAAAGTAGACTATAGACCGAACATGATTGCTACTCAATGCCTCTCTTGCAAACCATAGCACCCAAAAGGAGAGAGAGAACAAAAGGGAATGCCCTGTCACAGAGGCAGAGTGGGATGGGGGGATGGGGGTGGGAGGGATACTGGGATCTGTGGTGGTGGGAATTGGGCACTGGTGGAGGGATGGGTATTTGATCATTGTATAATTGAAACCCAAGCACAAAAATTTGTAAGTCTAAAGTGTTCCATAGCAAGTGTTATCATCATCTGGTCTCCTACGTGGAAGGGAATGGACAAGACTTAAAGAACAGCAAAGTCAGATGATTTTTCTGGTAGAAGGAAAGATTTGCCTAGGATCTTCAGAGAAATTTTCCCAAGGCTTTTTCATAATTAAACTTGCCATCTAGAGGTACTTTCTGTTAAATGTACACAGAGAGAATTCAGTGTTGGTCCTATGACTTGTTCTGAATTTCTTTGCCTAAAAGTTGCATCAACGTTTCCTACCATGTAGCATGGTGCTGATTGTTTCTTCCTTTGATCAACTTTGTAGGAATGTTTCTCTTAGGACACATTCATCAGCATCCTGAGAGCTCTTGGGATCTGCAAGTCTCCACCCTCTTCCCTGGGGGTGGTACCTTTTCTCTTTGTAGTCAAGTTAGGTTTGTTAATGTTCCAGTGATGCTGAGAATCTAAATTGTTCAGCATAGTTGTCTGGATTGACTACACATGTATTCTGTATTCTACTTGGGCCAGAAATTTGGCATGCATAGACATTGCTTGACATAGATAATGCACATCCTTTGTTAGAATACCCACATCTGCTAGAGGTAAGAAGGGTGTGTGGATTTGGGGGGCTTGTCCCTCCTCTCCTTCAGTCTTCCCACATATGTTCAGCCTTACATGAACTGCATGAGACCTTGCATTTCGAGCGAGGGTTTCTTTCATGCTCTTCTCAGTCACCACAGCCACGTTCGTCCTTCTCTCAACCATGCTGTGCTGGATCCATTTGCTTTTGCTATTCTTTTGGGGCAGGAAGTAACATGTAGGTCAGCATAGCTTTGTCCACATTTCCTCTGCCCCACCCCCATCTCATGGAGAGAGAGGAACTTTAGTCCAAAGACCTGAGAATTAATTAGGTAACACTCAGGTTGATTCTGCCTGTTTTCCCTACCACTGCCAAAAGCAAAATCAGACAGATTTAAAAAAAAAAAAAAAAAAGGAAAATAAAGTATTTCAGAGTGAGACATTTTTATAAATCTTTTAAAAGGATAAAGGGCTAGGCAGTGGGAATGATGAAAAGATACTTGACCTCTGGGTTCCAGATAAGTGAAGCACCAAGACTGAGAGACTGTTCAAATGGCTCTCCAATTACTTTTTGTTCAAAGGGACTTTTCTTCCTTAGACAAATGGTATTTTTTAATCAAAGCCCTGTGGGTCTTTCAGTTGCCAGTTTTCAGTGGAACATTTGTCTTTGTCTTTCTAAGTGATACTGTAAGAGTAACTGGCAAGACTCAGATTTACAGTTCTCTTGAGCAATGAGTAACCTTTATGTAAATGATTCTTTGGGATATAGTGTTTCCATTTTTATAGTCTGTTTTGTCAGGACCACGTCTGGCAGGGCTCAGGGGACTATATGGGATGCTTGTGATCAAACCCAGGTCATCCTTGTACAAAGCAAGCTTCTTACCTGCTGTACTGTTCACTCTGGTCTCTGTTAGTTTGTTTTGATTTGGGGGTCACACCCAGTGGTGCTCAGGGCTTACTCCTAGCAGTGCTCAGGGAACCATATGGGTGCTCGGGATCAAACACAAGTCAGCTGAAGGCGAGGCAGGCACTTTACCCTATACTCTCTCTCCCATTGATGGGATTACATGGCACTGGGGGCAGTTGGTGGGTGTAACGCCTACATACTGGAAGATGGGAGATCTGGGTGAAGGAGGCCCAGTCCTAATCTGAGTAGGCTTGGAGATCTAAGCCCCAGGTCCCACACACCTGGGTTCCTCTGCTGGTTCCTTCATGCATGAGGCTCGTCCGAACATGTGGAGAGTGGTCTTAAGCATGGCTGTGGCGGGAACTGTAGGTCTTCAGCTGCCGGGGCTCTGCTCGTGGCAGGGAGGGAAATTCAACCCCCCCTCCTCCAAGGGGCCCCGATGAGGACAGCCAGGCGTGGAGGCAGGAGACTCTGTACTGTTCTCTTCCGAGCAGAGCCCCGGCAGCTGAAGACCTCCGGTGCTGAAGGTGTTACTGGTGCCTGCTCGAGGAAACCGATGAACAACAGGATGACAGTGTTACAGTGATCTCTCTTAAATCACAGTCTGTCCCCTGGACTGTGGTTTAAGGATTGGTGTTTATACTCAGTACAGTTCAGTCTTTTACTTTTTACCTGACTTGATTATTTGTATGTTTAACAAAAGCTTTTGAAGGCTGATGTCTTATTGGGAGTAATAGTACAATTGTAGTAGTACATGTAGCTGACCCAGCTTCAATCCTAGACATCCCTCAACCCTGCCAGGAGTGATCCCTGAGTGCAGAACCAGGAGTAAGCTCTGAGCACTGCTACGTGTGGCCCAAAATCAATTAAAAAAAAAAAGATGTCATTAAAGGCAGCATTTTTCTTCCCTTTAATAATGGAATAGGCAGGTGGCAATAGGTGATTCCAAGGATCTTTGTCTTGACCCAGCTTGTCCACAAGGTACCAGCATAAGAATCACTAAAATGTTCAAATCAGTCTTCCAGATCTCAGTTTTACTTTTTTTACTTGTTAATTTTTCCCTGCAGGAACCTTCAGCCTATGGTGTCACCCTAAATTTGAGGATCGCTGTCAGTCGGTGGTGGAATTCATTAAGAGAGCCATCATGCACTCCAAGAACGGGAAGTTCCTCTATTTCTTGAGATCCAGGGTTCCAGGTAAGACTGTGTGATATTATCTGACCTGCTTAGAAAAGGTTATCCTAGTAGCAAAATGTGTCCCTACCCTCTAAAAATGTGCAGCCTGGGCTTTTTCCTGACTCACAGCAGGCATGCTTCCTGGAGTCCAGTGGTTAATCCACTGACCTTGTACCCTTTTTTTGGCTTTGTTTTGACTTTTTGCGTGTGTTTGAGCCATACCCATTCAGGGTGTGTGTTCAGGGATCCTGGGTCTGTGTTCAGGGATCACTCCTGTTGGGACTCAGGGAATCATATGGGGTACCGGGGATTAAACCTGGGTGGGCTGCAAGCAAGGCATGTACCTGACCTGACCCGCTGTACCATCTCTTCAGCCCCCTTGTACATTTTGAGAAAGAAACTTTGTCTCTGATCATATGCATGGAAATCACATCCTGCCTTTGATATCTAGGCATTTGTGAATATTTAACATTCAGAAATGTCTCCTTAGAGCTGGAGCAATAGTACAGCGGCTAAGGTGCTTATCTTTCACATGGCCAACTTGGGTTGATCCTTGGCACCACTTAGGTTCCCTGGGCCCTCCAAGAGTGATCACTGAGAGCACAGAGCTAGGAGTAACCCTGAGTACCGATGGGTTTATGGTTTGGCCTCCAAACCTGTGTGTGTGTGTGTGTAGTAGTAGTAGTAGTAGTAGTAGTAGTAGTAGTAGTAGTAGTAGCAGCAGCAGCAGCAGCAGCAGCAGCAGCACTGTCCTCCGTTGTTCATCAATTTGCTCAAGCGGGCACCAGTAACATCTCCATTTTGAGACTTGTTACTGTTTTTGGTATATTGAATATGCCACAGGGAGCTTGCCAGGCTCTCCCGTGCGGGCAGGATACTCTCGGTAGCTTGCTGGGCTTTCCGAGAGGGACGAAGGAATTCAACCCGGGTCGGCCGCCTGCAAGGCAAATGCCCTACCCACTGTGCTATTACTCCAGCCCATCCATCGGTCACGGTCCTCCCGTTGTTCATCGATTTGCTCGAGCGGGCCCAGTAACGTCTCCATTTTGAGACTTGTTGTTACTGTGTTTGGCGTATTGAATACGTCACGGGTAGCTTGCCAGGCTTTGCCGTGCGGGTGAGATACTCTCGATAGCTTGCCGGGCTTTCCGAGAGAGGCGGAGAAATCGAACTCGGTTCGGCCATGTTGGCTACTTGCAAGGCAAACGCCCTGCCCACCATGCTATTGCTCCAGCCCATATATATACATATATGTGTGTGTGTGTGTGTATGTGTGTATATATACACACACACATATAAAAGAAATGTCACCTTGTTCCTGATCCCTCAGTTATCTCACACTCACAAGTGAAATGGAGATTAGAGTGGGGTGATCTCTACCGAAGCAGGGAAGGCAGAAGCGTGTTCCCTAGAAAGGCAATGTGATAAGTGACCTGGAGGCTCAGCTCAGCAGTCTGCTCTGGGTTTTGTCCTTGTCACACTAAACTTACTATGAAGGACCAGTGACTTTTTGTTGTAGCTTAGCTGGTGTTGACTGCAAAGACTTCCTTCCACTTGGGAGCCCTGGATGTAGTAATCGCCCTCCTCCCCACCAAGTGCACTCAGTGAGGAGGTGTCTGTTTACTGTCTATTAGAGCCAGAGATGGGTGGGTTTGGAGGAATCTCCATTTACAGTGCTGGGAAAAGTAAAATGACAAGCACATTAATTGAGGAATTTGCAAGACAAAAACAGAACTTAAAATGGGAACTTTATGCTTCCCCATTGAATCAAATTAAGATTCCTAAGCAGAGTGCCAAGAAATTGCTCTCAAAAGAAGTTGCGGGGAAGCCTCGGGTAGAACATCAGTAACAGGATTGAACCAGGTTACAGGAATGCATTTTATAATCTCGATTTAAATAAGGCATGACAGGCTGTGAACTGTATTAATTCTCACTTCCTTTAGTATTTGCCTCAGTGCTGTCAACACGGTTGGGGCTAATGTCGTTGACTTGGTGAAAGGGAAAAGTTAGAATCCCTTCTTAAAGAAATTGACAGTTTCACAGTTTTTTGTGTTTGTAACTTTGGGGGATAATTCTTAACTATTTCTTTTGCAATTTAGCATCAGAAAAAGTAGCATCTTTACCCTCATTCTACTCCGGCCTTCCAGAGGGGACAGGTGGAAAAGAGGAGGGAGCAACTTGGAACAGCAGGAGCTAAATCCCCTGGGGGAACGGGAGGGGGAGGGAGTCACCAGATGTTCAGAGGCAGACCAGAGAAAGCCCAAAGCATTTTGGAGTATTTGTCCACTTCTAGAGTATTGATAGAATTGTGAATTCCTCAAATAGAGCCGATTTCATTTAGCAAATGTGCCCTGTCTGCAGAAATTTTAATTAAAGATGAACGTTGTTAAGACAGGGAGCATGTAATCATTATTTCTGTTTATTGACTGCTTGTCATGTGCCAGAAGCTTTGCCAGTTTTATTTAAATATTTCATTTCTTTTTTAACAACTCCAAAGTTAGACAGTAGATAAGGCTGTATCCATTTTGCCAGTGCAGAGATGGGCTGAGGCAACAAAGTGAAGATGTTACTTTATAAATTAATGCTGATAAGTGCTGAAACCAGGACTGAAACCCAGGCTCAGCTAACTACATTTTTTTTTTAAATTACCATCAGTCTTAGAGCTGGAGCAATAGCACAGCAGGTAGGGCATTTGCCTTGCACGCGGCCGACCCAGGTTCGAGTTCCAGCATCCCATATGGTTCCCTGAGCACCGCCAGGAGTATAACTGAAACCCAAGCACAAAAATTTTTTATTAGTGAAACACCATGAGGTACAGTTGTAGACTTACAAATTTTTATTAGTGAAACACCATGAGGTACAGTTGTAGACTTACAAATTTTTGTGCTTGGGTTTCAGTTATACAATGTTCAAGTACCCATCCCTCCACCAGTGCCCATTTTCCACCACCACGGGTCCCAGTATCCCTCCCACCCCCCACTCCCTCATCCCACCCTGCCTCTGTGGCAGGACATTCCCTTTTGTTCTCTCTCTCCTTTTGGGTGTTGTGGTTTGCAAAAGAGGCATTGAGTGGCAATCATGTTTGGTCTATAGTCTACCTTCAGCATGCTTCTCCCATCCTGGGAGGATCCTGCCAACACCCTTTATTTGGTGCTCCCTTTTCCCCTAGCATGTGTGGCTGGCGTCCAAGCCATACCATCAGTCTTAAGGGTTAAGGGTAAACACAGCAATAAAACTCAAAAGTGAGGGCTCAGAGCAATAGGGCTCGCAGCTAGGGCATACACTTGCCCGCGGCCAACCCAGGTTTGATCCTCAGCACCCCACATTGTCCCCTGAGCCCCACCAAGAGTGATTTCTGAGTGCAGAACTAGGAGTAAGCCCTGAGCACAGCCAGATGTGGCCCAGAAAACAACAACAACAAAAATCTCTCAAAATTCAAAATAGAATTTGCCTGGGCTTTGTGGAGAATACATAAAGAAGAGAGAATTATGTTTATAGAAAAAGGTATCTTTCTAGTGTTCGCACAAAAGTAAAATTTCCCGTGTTGTTGGTTCTCGAGAAAGATGTGCATATAAAACCTCAGAAGATTAATAAAAGAGTTAATGTAAAGTTAAAGTGGATGGGACGGATCCCTCCGCAGATGTCTAGGCCCCTCCTTTGCCCCTGAACAGTGTCACTGGTTCTGTCCTGACATTGCCCCATTCGTGAATGACCTCCCTGTCTTGTCACAGTCAGTCTCCCATGAATTCTGGCCGAGTCCCACCCCTGTCGTTCTCTTTCTGCTCTCCATCCTGTGTACACTTTTCTTAGTCTCTGGCCAGAGCTGCGTGCATATTGGCGAGATCCCTTGGAATTCAACTTGTCCCTGGCTGGGCCTCCCAGCCGTACTCCGGCAGTCCCTTTTGTCCTGTCCCGGCTTTCCTAGTCTCCTGTCACCGCCACATGTGCATGGGTGAGACTCTTGTGCTCCATGCCTTATCTCTACCAGGCTTCTGAACCCTGCCTACATTCTGCCCCCTCTGGGCCTATGAGGCCCGTCTGTTCTCAGTCACGTCCAGGTTCTCAGCCCTGCCTAGTCTTGCAGTCTGTGAAGAGAGGGAGGGTCAGAGAAGGGGTGAGGAGAGAGAGAGTCGAGGAGAGCCAAAGACAGAGCAAGAAGAGCAGAGGGAGATAGAAGAGCAAGATGGGGCTGGGGGGCCTCCTTTTATCTGTGGCCATAGCCCATGGCCAGATTTAGAGGCCAGCTAAATTCACCTGGTGGTGCACCCTTTTGCTCCTGCTGTCTCACTAGGACTTTTAATGAATGCTATAGGTAGGATTTCTATTTTTACTCTACTAACGGTCAAGTTGAAAGGGCAGAGCAATGGGACTGGAGAGATAGCACAGCGGGTAGGGCGTTAGCCTTGCACGCAGCTGACCCGGGTTCGATTCCCAGCATCCCTTATGGTCCCCTGAGCACCGCCAGGAGTAACTCCTGAGTGCAAAATCAGAAGTAAGCCCTGTGCATCGCCAGGTGTGACCCAAAAAGCAAAAAAAAAAGAAAAAAGAAAGGGCAGAGCAAGGCTGAAGAGATTACACAGAGGACTGAACCGATGCTTGATAAGCAGGAGCTCAGGATCCATCACCAGCACCAGATTTCCCCCTGGCACTTCAAGTATGCCCCCAAACCAGAGAGAATATGAAGGCAAAGCAGACTTAGTATTTGCTCCCAACCTCAAGCAACCTCTCTTAGAAGGGTTGGAGCAAAGGCAGTTAGTGTTGTTCCTTGTTGCCCTCTTGCCCTCCTCTGCTTATCATACAGGGGACTTGACTAGGGGAGAGGGTTGGCTGTGTGAGATAGTCATAAGCCGCAAGATCAGTCAGCCCTCCCTGGGGGCTTCACTCACCAGATTCTGAAGACAGCCTGTTAGACTTTCGGATGATGATAACTGATGCCCAGAGGTGCCGAGTATTACTTAACCCTTAACAAGAACTATCTCCCCCCCTCCCCGTCTTTCCCTCCCCTTCTCTCTCTTCCCCTT